AGGAATGCCTGCACTCTTTCTTCTACAGGTATGTCTCCTAAATCCTAATGTACTTGGGTGTTTGTGAGTATATTTAACATGAAATCTTGCTAGCATTTTTCTGTGGGCATCATTCTCTTTTATCCTTATTCTTTGAGAATTCTTGGTGCTTATGTTTTCAAAATAATCATGAATGATGTGTTAATAATAACATTGAAAGCATTTCAGCTGAAGATTCAGATTTAGAATGTGAGACGATCCATGATGATGTCAGAGCAGCAGAAAAAAATAATGCACTTTGTTTGGCTGTCTCACAGCTTGCTAGCGAGTTTAGCAAGGAATCTATGTTATCTCTGCAGAAGTTTTTTGGTGTACGCCGTGCTCGTGTGATATCTACAGGATCCTTGAAGCTCGACCTAGCTCTTGGAGTTGGAGGATTACCAAAGGTGACAATGGGGCTTGTGCATCTGTTTTTTAGAGTTTAGACAATTATTATTTGGTGTTAGAAAATGTTTTGCACATCCACAAGATGGGGATATGTATCATCATGTGCTCACTGGCAACTGTTTCCTGGTGGATGACCTGGTGAAATTGTGTAGCAGTAGCACTAGAACATATATTTGCTCTTCTCTGACAATTAGATGGCCTCAAAATGCTCTGTACTAGTCAATTTTAATATGAAACTGAAGCCTGAAAAAACATTAGCAATAGGGCTTTAACAGGAAAATAATTCAGGTTGAGTTTGGCTACCAAAAGTTTTGAGTATTGATATTTAGTTATAGACAGATATATTCAGACAAGGAATCAAGGGGTCATAAGTTCCCCAATAGAACTAGCCATTCTTTCTTTTCATCAACCTAGTTCCCTTTCCCACTTAATATCCGTCTTTTATTTTTATATTGTATCCTAAATGAAGGTCTTTTCTACTGAAGTTAGAAAGTTTATAATTTTAAGCACTCTGATTTTCCATATTTAGGAGAGCTGGAGCCATGAAGATCTTTCTAGTTTAGCTCTTGTAAGGGTTTTATTTTTCCCCCTCTTTCATCTCAGCTTTCGTCTCTTGAAACACCCATATGATTCAGACTTTGAACCTTCTGCAGCCAAAGAGAATCTTTCTTTATGCCTCTTAATGACATTTAGGTATTATTCAATGTCAGAATAAGTCAGCTGTTTAACGCAGCAAACCACATGAAGTAGACAGATAACATTTCCTTCTTTTTTTTTTCTTTTTTTTTTTCTATAGAGCAGCCTTTCTCTTCTTTAGATATACTCTTTCACTCTCCCCAGATCTTAACTATGGGATGATAGGTGATCACTTTAAATTTGAAATACAGCACTTCAATGCTTGGTCAACTATCAATAGTATGGTTTTGGGTTGATCAACCTTTTCTTGATGGGCACTTGACTTGCTTGGCTGCAAATGATGTTTCTTACTTCTAGTGTAGGATTTTTTTTTCCCTGTCATATTCACAAATTTCCTAATGTGTATTTCATTTCAACATTTTAGGGTAGAATTGTGGAAATTTATGGGCGAGAAGCAGCTGGTAAGACTACACTTGCACTTCAAATTATTAAAGAGGCTCAAAAGCTTGGAGGTACTTATCAGAATTTTAGTATTTCATCTTTTTGGACCCACTTCAAGTATATAAATAAGATCTCAATTAGTACTTATTTTTTATCGGGGAAAAAAAACATAACTGTATACTGACATAGAGCCTTTAACATGCTCATTTAGTGCATATCTTTGCTTAGTGTTTAATCAAATTTGTGTTATTTATTGTCAATTGACACATGCAAGATGCTCAGTCATACTCTTCACTCAGTGCCCTTTTTCTGTTGGAGGTGTTGTTTACCTTATTGTGTTCTGTCAATTTAATAGCTTCCATTTATTCTGTTGGCAGGATATTGTGCATATCTTGATGTAGAAAATGCATTGGACTTCTCACTTGTGGAATCAATAGGCGTAAATACTGAAAACCTTCTTGTATCAAATCCTGATTGTGCTGAAAATTTGTTAAGCATGGTGGATACATTAACAAAAAGTGGAGCTGTAGATGTGATTGTGATTGATAGTGTAAGTTACTGTATTTTATCTCTAAAACCTATGTATATTGGATGAGGATGTGATTCAGTGAGGTGGATTTTTAGATTACACTGCCTTTAATCATATCATGTTGGCTCTTATTCTGATAACTCGTGTTGAGCATGCCTTAAAAGTCCTCATCATTCTAGAAAAGGAGAAGAAAATTCTCTCCAAATGTAAAATTATCTCTATAGAGGAGACATTCTCATTAGTTTAGCAAAATAGACATTTTTTTGAAATTCATCTGCACTGAATCTGTCATGAGATCCAAAATCAGTGCCTGACTATCAAGATAAGAGCCTTGCCCCCAATTGCAGCAGTAACAAACTTTCATCAAAGTATTTAGATTAGCTTTTGGGATCTTCCTATTCTTTTTCATTGCTTTCTATCATTTTGTTGAAATTGTAGGATTTAGGTAGAGAAGGAAAAGAAAGAATAAGCCAATGAATATTCTGAAATTGACATTGATACGATGTTATATAGAATACAAAACTCCATCTCCTATTTATTCTAAAACTATACTTCTAATTCTAATAACGTAAAGAAACGAATGAAATGCAAAGTCACTCCTAAGAGGTCATCCAAAATACTCTAAAATATTCTTAAGATCCAACAGTTGTTATTATGAGATATTTTATAGATATATGAATGCATTTCATCTTTTGTTTAACTCATGAATTTAAGGTAATTTTGTCACTTCAGGTTGCTGCCCTTGTCCCCAAATGCGAACTTGATCAATTAGGAGTTAGCACTAAGCGAGATTTACAATCACGAATGATGACTCAAGCTCTGCGGAAAATTCATTATTCATTATCTCACTCTCAAACTCTCATTGTTTTCATTAATCAGGTTGTTGCCTTATTACTTGAACATTTGTACACCTAGTAGTTTGAATGCCAATTACTAAGATATACCAACAAACAATTACATTTATCATTCAATACCATCTTTCATGTACAGATTAGATTGAGTCCAAAATCAGATAAGGAATGTAGATCTGTGGAAGAAGTCACTTGTGGTGGAAATGCCTTGAGATTCTATGCAGCTGTTCGATTGAGACTTTCAAGAATGGGATTGATCAAAACTGAGGATAAGGTTAGTTCTTAAGTATTGTTGGGACTATGACCAACTGGGTAGACTAAATTACTTTGTTGAGGAGGAATTCTCATTCTCAGACCTGCCACCGTTAATATGCTTCTTTTGTATGTTATTTCTGTTTAGTAATATCTGAAAAGTTACCCAATTTCTCGCTTTCTTTTCCAAACACCTATCTTGTTTTCATTCTCTGTTCTCTTTTGATATCTGGTGCTTCAGGTAGAGGGTGTTCATATCTGTGCGCAAGTGGTAAAAAACAAACTAGCACCAGCAGCAATGAAAAGGGCTGAACTGGGTATCAAGTTTGGAAGAGGCTTTTGCCATGAGTCAGAGGTCTTAGATTTGGCTTGTGAACATGGAGTCATTGTGCAAGATGAGGGAAGCTACTTCATTGAAGGGAATGTTTTTGATAGTAGGGAAGCAGCTGAACTGTTTTTGGCAAAAAATGATGCCATTTGTGACCAGTTGGTTAGGGATATGAGAAGACTTTATTTTTAAAATCTGGTGGATTTACTAGGCCAAATCTCTTTCAATGGTATGCTTGGCAGACTTTATGCAATTGAGCATTGGCAACACGTTATCAAAGGCATTGATATTGCCTTCAGTGGGTATCAACCATTTTTCAGATGAGCATAAGGCATTTTAAGTTACAGGAATATTCATTGGCTTGGATCTAGGCATGCAATGCTGCAAATTCACCCGACCAAATGAGAAATTTGATTGCTCTTGTGAACCATCTGACACACCTTCCTGTGTATTGCTGAGGAATGGTGGTTATATTCATTTGTCAAAGAAATGTGCCATTATGGAACTGTAATGTAAATGATGAACTGCTTTCATTTCTTGTCCCCCTGTCCTTAATTCTCAGGATAGATTCTTCAGAATGAAAGCAAAAAATATTTTTCTCGAATCAAGTGGTCCCTTGCCTTTCCTGAGTCTGTTGCATGGATTTGTATATCATTTTTTCGGCATTTTTGGACAAGTGTTTCTAGACGGCAGAAAGCTGCCACTTGTTCTTAAACTTGGTTCATTTTTATTAATCGAACGATTTCTCTAAAAATAAACCCAATTTGGTTTATGACTGGGCTAAAGACTGGACTAAAATAGCTTCTAAATTTGGCTTGAATAGCTTGGGGATCGAATGAGTCATTGAGACATTATGAATCTTTATTTTCTTTGGTCCAAGACATGATGAATCTTAAGTATTTGCATATTAAAATTAGAGATTTAATTAGAAGTATTTATTTTTTGGTAAAGATAGTAATTAGAAGTATTTAAAACAGATGAGAATAAAAGGGCAATTACCATTTTAAATGGTAATTGACATGTCATACTATTCGACAGCAACTAACAAAATGTAACAGTGCTAGTGAATGATTTAATTAAAAGGTTTTTTAAATTATAATTTTTTTAAAAAAATTAACTATAGTGATCTAATTAAAAATTTAACAAACTATAAGAACTTAGAGATTAATTTAACGCAATATCTAAAACAGTTTAGATATAAGGATACATTGAAATTTTATATATAAAAAATTGGATTGAATTTAAACCCACTATTACAAAAGAGAAAAGAGAGAGAGAGAGGGAGAGAGAGAGATTTTACATTCTCAAAAAATGGGCATACTAAATTTATTAGATAAAAAAAATAAAAATGTTTATACAAAAATATCAAATACCAAATTCAGTACATTGATTAGGTATTAGAATCGAAAGTAAGTAAAGATATATTCATAATAAAACTATTATAGCAATAAATTTAAAAAAAAACTATTAAAAATCTAAAATAAATTGCAGTTTAAATTTAATTTAACGGAGAAGATAAAAGCACACACATTAATTAATTTTTATTTTTTTGTCATATAATTAATCTAATTTAATTAGTTCAAAAAATTGAATTTGCTTAAATAAATAAAAAATTGAATAAATGTTAGTTAGATTAGAATACATTATATAGGAAAAATATGTATTTATATTGTAATTATTAAAACAATAAATTAGAGAAAAGTAATATATATATATAT